CTTATTCTCCAGAGCTGTCTTGCGAGGAGACGATGTCAGTATGGGGACTTCTTTCCTCGCCGCGTTCTTTTTCAATTCAATCCTGTCTTTCGGATGTCAGATGAAGCGTAATTTTTACCGCGATTCTTCACAATTTGGCGAACCGCGGTCCTTAGGGGGTGTTGTGACCGTGGTCAATACAGACTACGATTGCCCCGGTGAGCGATACCAACTCATCTGTCAGTGTACCGGGAGAAATGGGTTTCCGGTCTGTGATCTGTGAAGGAAGGACGACTTTCTTCCCAAAATATGAATTTGTCAATGGGTACAATACCATAGACTTCAAAAGCTTTTGCAGCCTTTCCTGTCGTACAATTCTTCAAGTACGATTTTCGAAACAGTTCCGGTATCTGGAATTGGATGATAGCGCAAATTGAAATTTATCCAGACTGCGTCATAATTGGTGGGCAGAAGTCCGCACCAGGACACTTGTCCCGACATGAATGCGGACCCTTGCCCCAACATTCGAAATACTATATTTGTGCTGCCTTCTGTAAGGCATCTACGAAAGTATTGCGAACGTGACGAAGTGCATTGTGTAGGTCACATTTCACATATGCATACTTTTAATTGTAGATTTAATTACTATTTAACAGCGTAAACATTTTCCCAATATTTTACAAAATTACATGAAATAAGTTCAAATTATATCTCATCTCACTGTCGCAGCAGTATACTCTGGAACCACCTAACTTTCTTCGCAGAACATTTTCCATGACACCTTTAAATTGATATTATATTTTGAATTTATATTGCAGAAGGGCCAACTTCATTACTCGAAAAACAGTAATTTTACTAATCGGACTTTTACCCCATGCCGACGTTTGCCCCATGCAACTCTACTATTGTGTTTAGTAAGTGGCAACAGTGGATGATTAGTTATTTAATAAATAAGTGATATTACTTCCATTCAGTTAAAGTTCATTGAAAACTGTTGCTGCAATGAAGACACAAATTATTTTTCTTCCTTTCCAAAATAATCAAAACGTAAGTATTGTTCCTTATGCATTACTTTTACTACATACGGCTTAATTTCATTTTAGTTTACAATGTAACATCGTAACCTCCAATTTTTTTAGTAGGGCACGGCTTCATACACTTCTCCTAGGAACTTTAGGAAAATATAAACACACTTACGTCACTCCACTCATTGGCAGAGAGATAACTACGGCAGGTGCAGAACTGTCAATAACAGAATAAAGACAAAATTGATCAGAAAAAATACCTGGAAGCAAGCCCAGTGGGTAAATGTGGAGGAAAAGAATCGCCGGTCTTCATACCAATCGTAGAAATAGTGATTTTTGCTTCAAAAATTGTAAAAAGTGTTGCCAGTCTCATTATGATAAACGCTGAGAGAGTAACAAAGGGACAGTGCTGAGACTGTTGGCCGAAGAGAAACTAATCTGTCGTCGCCATATCAACAAACTACGCCTTACCCAGGCCATGAAGAAGAAGAAGAAGAAGAAGAAGAAGCGACTCCAATAGGTCAGAGAACATCGAAATATGACTGTTACAGACTAAAGTCGAGTAAACGACGTTTTTATATATTTAAACACTAGTTCATTTCATCATTATTGAGTCATTAATTTCATCATCGTAAATTTCATCATTTTGTAATATTTTACAGTCATTGTGATGTGATGTGAGTTAAACACAGACACGGAGTTTTTATACAGATTTATTTACATTACTATACAATATCTACACTCGCTTGGAAATCACCGCTGCACTGCACAGCACTGCACATTCCTGAGGCAAGCCGCCCTTAGTCTGGCGCAGCCCCAGGGGGCTAAATCGTAGCGTCGCCCCCTGGCCTCTAATCCCGTGGCGAACCGCCACCCCTCGCAAGCCACCGCTTACGACTCTTCCCCGACGGCTCTCGCACGTCGAATGCCCGCAGATTCCTCTGACAGCTTCTCGCACGAGGAATCACGTGACCGACCTCCCACGCAGCCGACCCGCGGCCCGCGTCACCTCGTTAGCGAATTTTGCGCCCGTTGCTAATTGGGGCCCGCCGCCGCTGTCGGACGCGATTGTCGTCACTTATCACCCCCTCCCGGCTCTGACACCCACGTTCCAACCACACGCCCTCTCCCGGCCGCACCCTCCGAGCTTCGTGGACAACCCCTCCCCCTCGCCGGCCTCCCGACTTGTGGGGTCCGGCGGGCACAATGTCACGACGTTACAGTAAGCTTTTCTGACTAATGAACGTTTCAGATTTTAGGCAGCGAAGGTTCATTTGTCCGGCGCCGTCGCGAGAACAGTTCCATCCGAACTACTTAGTGGAGGGGGTTAAATACCCGGTTAGTGTCATGGTATGGTCTATGATCTCAGTGAAGGGTAAATGGAGCGCCTATACACCGTAGAAGAGATCATGAGGCAAGATCAGCACAAGCGAGCACTTGAAACTCTGCTACTCTCATAGCTCGAAGTTGGAAGAATGGTGATTAAGCACTGGTGATTAAGTCCAAGTTTTTATGCACGATTCAGCACCGTGCCGCAAATGCAGGAGACATGCAACAGAATGCACACTGAGTATGAGAATGAAGACGTAAAAACAGAGAAGAGAAATTGCATATTAACGTAATCAAATATTTGCATTTTCAGTCAAAATCGAAACTCTTTCATTGTTTTGTATTTTTCCGCTCTTCGAGTAGATCTAACGAAACTATTGGCAGCCCTCACATAGCCAGATACTGCTTGTTTTTTCTCCTTTTTATGCGCACATTTATTATTTATGTCATTCCATTTGAAACAGAATCACAAGCTGTTGAATAAATATCATTGTTGGCCAGTATCATATTAGTAACATTAATTACAATAGTTCGGAGCCCTCGTTCAGGGTCCCTAATTAAATCTAGCTGGAAAACCAGACTCTTAACCAGAAAAGTACGGTTTCTCGATCAAAATTTCTACTGGGAAAAGAAAACGTTTGTAAATTTCACACGAATCTTGCAAAATGTGTATCCCGTACGAAGCAGCAATCGCTGTTGCTTGTTGCAAACCCATTGTTGTAATGCCGCACAGACAAGGCGATAACAACGGCTGCCTTTCTTTCGCGTTAATATAAACTAATAATTTTAGTTACAGTTAAAAACCCATCGTGCATCATTGGTATATTTATGTAGAATGTGAATTCACTGAATTCAATGGGAGATATCTGTTTTCGTTTAAGCATATGCATTATATATACACATATACATAAATATTTACATATATATTCATATTTCTTTTTCACGCTTCGTTTGTTTAAGAATTTTTGGAAATTTTGGTTGAAGTGGAAAACAGAAATTGTCATATTATAATATTACATCGCCATTAACAATATCGCGAGAAAGTACGTGCTGTGGTAGCTCCACCAGTTAGTGCCAGAGCTCCCGATTCACGGCAATGCCAGCCTCAAGTGCCACCAGTGCGGCCTCCCTCACCTGTCTGCATGAGCGTGGCGTTGCCGTGGTACATGTCGTAGGTGGCGGCGGCCGGCGCCGTCTCGCGCGCGTTGAGCGTGACGGCGCCGCCGGCGGCGCGCGAGTAGATGGTCATGACGAAGCCGCCGCCGACGCCCATGCTCTGCGGGCAGGTCACCCCCTCGCAGAACAGCGCCGCCACCGCCGCCTCCACCGCCGACCCGCCGCGCCGCAGGATGTCGGCGCCGATGGGCGCGCACGGCCGCCCGTTGGTGGTCACTGCCGCCTGCGCCAAACACACACTTCTTTGCTCTCCGTTGCTCTCCCGACAAGCGCACGTAAGTGTGTGTGTGTGTGTGTGTGTGTGTGTGTGTGAGTGCGAGTGCGAGTGCGAGTGCGCGCGTGTGTGTGAGTGTGAGTGAGTGTGTAAGTGAGTGAGTGAGTGAGTGAGTGTGTGTGTAAGTGAGTGTGTGTGTAAGTGAGTGTGTGTGTGAGTGCGTGTGTGTGTGTGCACGCGCAAGGGAAGAGAAGACCACACGGAAGAGGACGGAAAGATAGCGCGCGGTCCGTGGCCCATTTTCTTTGGTTACTGCTCAGGCATTCACTAGAAGCCGGCCGCTAGAAGTCCCCTTCAGACAGCGGCTGAAATCGACCTGTTTAACTAGTGTCGAAAATCTGTCACTGTCGGAGCTTGAACCTCAGACCTTTCGCTCAGAGTCGCTGGAGAGAATACGCGCTTTGTATGGAAGGTCCATATACAATTGGATGGAAGTCCACATGGCTGGTAATTGCATGGAAGTCCATATACAATTTTACCAAAGTTTGACGTAGTTAATTTTCTTTACAACAGGAAAAAAATTACGTGCGAATCCATTATATAAAGTTCATCTTAGAAGGGGGGAGTGTTGTGGGTATAGCGAAATGTTGAAAGCGAAGGGGATATATGAAAAATATAATTTTAATAATTTAATGATAAATATAACTTCGCAGAGTAGGGGAGAGGGGGCTAGTGCGGACAAATGTGGCTATTCTCTAAGTAACACATACAATCTGTCAAAATTATTTCTTAAATGTTGGCCACACAGTCCCTTTTAAAACTGCCAAGTTTGGCCAATAGATTTTCAGAGGTCATTTTCTAATGGTGGAAATGTGTTTTAAGATGTGGTTGAATTCGAAAAAGGTACAATTCAAATCATAAAAAGTAAGTCAAGAAGTTTGATCTTAAAATATTGATTTTAATTGTACTTAATATGAAAACTTGATACTTTAGTTATCTTCAGTAAAAGTATTTTTCAGTTTGGTATAATGTGACACAATATCTTCAAAATGGAGGGTGGGGGTTAATGTGAGCATTCACTTTAGGACTGACCACTCTAACCTCACAGTACTAAACAGCAAAATTTTACTGTGTCTGTTCAGTGTGTGTCTAAATATAATCACAAATGTGCTAAAGATTTTTAATCAAATGACCAACTCTACACTGTTTAGGAAAGCTTGTCATAATTTATGCAAGGTAGAGATACAATTTCATATTGTTTCAAAGCAGCCTAGAGCCTAAATATAATTGTTCTGAAAATTATTGAAGAAATTATTGAATTATAATATGTACCTTTTGTAGATTTAACTTATAGATAAGCAAATGCTATCTTTCTTAATTCGTTCCTTTTCTTTTTTCGCATTTCAAATGGTCAGAACATATTTTAGGAAAACTTAAATTTGCAAAATCAGTGAGAAAATAGTGAAGGAATGCTAGAGTGGGCTAATGTATATGTTTTCAGAAAGGGTATTTATTTAGGAGGAAAATATTAAAACCGCTTCTACAGAAAAGTAAAGATGGAATACTAAGGTTTGCAGAAGGCACATAATATACTTTAAATTAAAAAAAGAATTCAAGTTATAGATTTCTAAATGGAAAATGTCCACTCTCTCCTCTATTGTTTGAAAGACTCCTAACATACATTATAATTTCTCCGAGACCTTACTTAACATAACAAAGTTGAAACATGTGAAGAATCTCCTAAGAGCCGTGTGCGTATCGTGCGGGGAGGGGGAGGCCATACCTGCCAGTAGGCGCCCTCCACGGACTCTGAGGGCGCGACAGTCTGGAAGCCTGCCGAAGAGGCGTCTTTGCGCAGGCCGAAGTAGATGGCCAGGGCGGTGGCCACCACCAGCAACGCTGCCAGCACCACCGACAGCACCAGCAGGGGGCGCACTCTGTGGCAGAGGAAGGGACTTGTACAGCCTGCGCACTTCACTAGATGCCACAGGACTGGGATTGTTGTTTCGTCAAAAGTACAAATTATCACTTCTGTAGCTCGATTGCAGATGTAAACATGTAATAGTTTCTGCTTCAGAGGAGCGAAGATTTATTAACAAATGTTACCAACAACGCTCTTTTTTTCTCAAATTCAGAATGATTAGAAGAATCATACGGATTGCACACTGTTGCCTGTTAGGCCAAGAGATTATTGAAGGATTATGGCATACTGGTAAATGTAATACACGAGGGACTTGGAATGCTCCCCAAGACTCAAAAATAACTGAAAACAGTTTCTAAATCAAGACCTTAAAATACACTTCGTGTACAAACACACAAAGCGCGACCCGGGGCGATGCGACACGGCAAAAACAATTATGCTATATGTGCGCATGAACACACAGCAAGCGGCGCGGCGCGATTTGGGACAGTCAAGTTTCATTTTTTCGCGCGAATTCGCGTGAACTGAACCACTGAACCCGCCAGCGTGTGAACATGCAGTGTTCGAAGTGTTTTCGAAGCCGCCAATTTGTCAAAGCAAAACACAAAAACAACCATCCTCCAGTTTTTCTTAAATCGCGAAAGACACATGTGAATACCAGATTTTGAGGTCTTTTAGCATTATACTCTACAAGAACCAATATATTTTTAAGACCCACTTGACTCATGTTTCTCTATGTGTGTCAACGCGCTGAATCCGAATCTGAAGCCCGAATTGTGCCACCATTTTCCAGTTTTGTTTTAAATCACAAAAAGACCACGAAATTTACAATTTACAATCTCACGGTGTTGTTTCGCGATTTAATAAAACCGGAGGGTGATGGCGCAATTTTGGCTTCAGAGCCGGATTCAGCGCGTCGACATTCTCGGAGAAACGTGTATTAAGTCTTTGGGTCTGACAACAACCTCCAAAAACAAAAAATTACAAAAAAGGTGTTTTTTCGCGATTTTTGTAAAAAGACTGAAGAGTGGTGGCCTAATTATGGATTCTGATTCGGATTCAGCTCGTCAAAATACATAGAGGAACATTTGTCAAGTCTCTGGGTCTGACACCTTTTATTTTGTGTGCATGTGTAATTTGATATAACTAATAAAATGACTAAAACTGACCTTTTTATGCATTCACGAGGTTTTATGTGCATTGTAACATGGAATCTATGTATTTTAACTACTTTGACACTATTCGTTTCCGAAGCCAAAACGCAAACAAAGTTACTTTAGAATCAAAATCTATCAACATCGTACACTGTAATGAATATTTTTCACAAAATGAAAAAATGTTTTTAATTTTTTTTTAATTTACAAAAATTTTGTAGAACACTTTTGACACGTATTGTCAGTACGCACGGTTTTGTAGTAACATGGTTTTGTTTACTATAATGTAATATTTAAACTGAGAACAAGGTGTTTTACAAAAAGAAAAAAAATCTTCAGAAGTTCTGTTTTTCTAACGCGGAACGGCAAAAAATTAGCTGAACTTATACGACCTTATTTCAAAATGTCTTTAAAGAACAGATTTCATTTAGGAAAAAACCACTATCTTCAATGATGAATTTGTAGGAACACCCCGAAATGAATTTGAATTTTCGAAGTATCAGGCAATTCAATGAAAATGAGGCCACAACCATTCTCTAGTGGGTCATTTACGCTATTCTTTGGAAAAATTTAGTCCAAAAAATGAGCAATTTGAGAAAATTTTGAAATTTTATTGAGGCTTCATGTAATATACGCGAAAAATTAAAATATCCGTTTCAAACTCAGAAGAACTCCTTCATTTAAATCAATCGGGGAATATCAATTTTGGAGAAAATCGACTTCCGGCCGGCAAGACGCAGGGACAGACAGACGAACGGATAGGCGCACAATTACAATACTTTATCCAGTAATGAAGTGCAAAAAAGTAACTAGTAAAATTGCGTTTTGGACTATTTCTATAACCAAAGTTGTATGGTAGTTAAATTATTTGCTACTTTTTATCGCATCCTTTACCCTATCCGTTCTTTCAGGAAACGCCATTGTTGTGTATAATATGTACGTATTTTATATTTAGAATGAAACATGTATTGTGTAGTGAAGACTTGTGTTCTTTTAGCCGCTCCGAACTATTTTAAGACCCGCTCGGCAATATTTTATGTTAAAAAATTTAAAAACGCTTTTATGGAGCATATTTAAACATGATAATTATTATTTTTAAATCGTTTCTTAAACTTTTGGAAAAATAACTACATGTATTTGTGTATATTTTGTTTTTTATATTACAATTCGTATCAAGCACAAAATATTAGCTTGCCAATGTTTACAAAGAGAAGAGGTAAAACAAAGGGCTATATCCGGTGTCTTAACAACTTAACCTGTAACTTAACTATCGTTACGGACCCGGCTATAAACTCTGAATATAACCTGCTCTCTTCTGACAGGACTAATGACTTTAGTATTAAACGCGTCCGGAATCAATAATACTCACTCAAAATTAAAGGGATGACTTGAGAATTATGCTTACCAAGCTAAAATTAAACCAAGATATATTTATCTTAGACTCCATTATCTATCAGAATATCATTAATAACCGTGCGCCGGGAGGTTATACCATTTGAAGGAAAAGATAATCATTTCAATCGGGGAACATCTGAAGAAGTTACTATGGCTAATTAAACCTAAAAAAAATAATACACACGACGATTGTATACCCCCCTCCATTTTAAACGTCGGTTAAACTAGCGATTCCGCGAACGAAGTGCAATTATTTTTGTTGTTGAAATTTTATTCATCATGGAATAAACTGAAATTAACAAATGTTTGTTTTATATAAATACTACAACGAATCTATTTGCAATTGAGAAAATACAAACAAAGGGATACTTTAATGGGACGTATTTATTTTATTTCTTACTCGTATTTTCTTTACTCGTGTTCTTCTATATTTTCCGTTTCTCCGCCAATTAGGTTTTTCAGTCGTTAAAAATTCGTAGTACAATTAGCGAATGTTCTCGTACTCGATAACTCTCACTGGAGTGAAATCAGTCAACACTTTTTATAGCAACACTCCGGCACAATGAATAATTGTTTTATTGCGCAACATTACTCCCAGAACTCACACATTATTTAAATGTCCATAGTTTCCCATTCACTTGTCATCCTCTTGACGCGAGACAAGGTGTGAAGGTTGAGTCGACCATTACGTACGGTCCGCTGTTACGGCGCGATTTGCTGTACACAATCAGCTACACTATGACGAACTAAACAGAAACTTCGTATGTGGCAATCCAAAGTGAATCTAAGAGTAGCATTTATTTATGGTAATGAATATGATAACAAGAAAAATCATTTTTCATCAGGATCATGTTACTCAATGTCCGGAATTTTTAGCTTTTTCCAGTTATTGTATATTAGTTTAACATTAGTAATGGGCAATTTCGAAAGCACTTTCTGCTTGCACTTTTTAACTGTCATTAGGACACAAGTCTTTAATACTCATAGAATATTCACCATTTTACAGGTAGTTTATATACATGGGAAAATATCCATGAAATGATTTTGGTAATTGCCCAGTAGATATAGGATGATTAATTCTACGTCGATTCGAATAGTTGATAGTGCAAATCTGTCAGGGCAAGGGGGCAAGAATGGATCGCAAGCGGCACTTACTTTCTCGCCTGCATGTTGAGCGTGGACCGGAGCGGTGGGCCGGGCTGAGGCTACTTCTCGGCCAGGGGCGGGGGGCGTGGGCGTCTGTCGCTGCCGGCGTGGCGCCTCGCTGACTGCCGCAGCTGCTTCGCCTCCTCAGGAGCCTGACCTCGACAAACGCGCGCTGCGTTACTCCGCTGCCGGGCGAATACTGAAGCGCAGGCGCGGAGGGGCGCCTCTCTCGCCCG